ACTACATTATACACTAAGGTAGGATTCTACACTCCACACTACAGTAATGTAGGATTCAGATTCTATCTAGCATGGAAAGGCCAAGGTTGGGAAGAGGAGGAGGGAAAATGGTTTAGTTTTAAGTATATTCTGTCCGAGTGGAGATAAAGATATCCATATATACTTAAAACTAAACCATTTTCCCTCCTCCTCTTCCCATCCTTGGCCTTTCCATGCTAGATAGAATCTGAATCCTACATTAGTGTAGAGTGTAGTGTAGAATCCTACATTAGTGTAGAATGTAGTGTAGAATCCTACATTAGTGTAGACTTGGAGTCTTTTGCATCTAAAGCTGTGACACCTACCTACTCCCAATGTGGTCCTCAGAAATATCCCCTGAAAACCTTTGCCACTGAAGGAAGTTCAGAGCCCTCCTTCCCAGACTATGGTGATTTATAACCACTGTGTTGATCTTTTTGAAAGGATGGATTATACCTTGGAAGACACACAACGCAAGGAGAAACTTCTGAAGACTGTTTATACCCTACAAGTTAAATCAGATGCCACTTTTCAGAAAGCTAGTCCTCTCCTGACCAACCATCCAGGCATGGGCATGGTGACTGACCGCCAAGTTCACCAACTGGCAGAAAAAGCCAAGGTCATCTGCCATGACCTTGATAATATCAAAAACCACCTTTATTATCGGCAAGATGACTTGGTTCGGAGGATTCCAAATCCCAACAGGAAGCATTATGGAGCAGTATGTGGAATTCACTGTTCACCAGATGGGGTGGTCTACATTACTAGTGAGAATGCACCCAGGGTCCATATTCTTAATCGCTCTGGCCAGATGTTTCGGTCCATCCCATGTGTAGAATGGAAGAAGGAGGTTTTTTTACCCGAGGATGTGACTGTCACCAGAGTTGGTATGGTGGCTGTCACAGACATGCTGAATGGAACCATCCACATATTCAATGACCGCTCCAAGTTCTCCAAGGGTGAATGGCTAAGAATTGGGAAGTTTTGTTCCCCCAGAGGAATTGGAGTTGAAGCATCAGGAAGGATCCTGGTGGCTGACTACACCGAAGGAAAAGTCCATAGCTTTAACTTGGATCGGGCTTTCAGGATGCAGAACACCCACTCTATCTCCAACCTACGTGGGCCATGCTACGTGTGCATGATACCTGATGGGGGGTTTGCAGTGAGTGAAGAATGTGGCGATGTCAAGCTCTTTGACAGCAGTCACAAACTGGTCTCTTCCATCAGTAGCAACTACAGCCACCGTTTTGGCAATCCTGCTGGCATCTGTGCTGATAAGGAAGGCAATGTCATTGTTGCAGATGAACAGCATCAGAAAGTACACCTATTTCCTAAGAGCGGATCTCCAATCTGCCTCGTCTCTAAAGGTCTGCTGAGACCAACAGGAATTGCCTGTTCCACTGACGGGTTACTTTTTGTCACCGATAGCGGAGACAATGATGTCAAAGTCTTCAAATATCGTGTGAGACCTCATTACAGTTCTGACATTCTATGCATACCTGGTGATAGGCCAAATTATTCACCTCAAGGGAAGGCAGGATAGGCTCCATTGCTTTTATACACACATCCATTTCTTTACCACATTACCTCATTAAATCTGCATTCACTTGTCCAACAGTACACCATGCTACTCTAGTGATGAAATGGAATTTGCAGTTATTCCTTTGTCATAGGGAAGACTCCCCCAAACAAAGAAAACAGACTCAATATGGCACCTGCAAAAAGAGAGCCTGAAATTGGTGCTAAATGGACAATCTATCCAATAATTAACCTTTCCTTCCTCAATGAATTTTTTTTTGTAGTAAGAAAAATGTCAGGAGAGAGAGTGGGAGAATGAGGTTGGTTTACAAGTGGACTTCATTTTTTTAACATGGCACTGATGAGAGTGAGAGTATTTTGATCTGGGAAAGGAAAGTATGCTAACTTTTTAGCTTTTAGGTTAGTTTTGGTCAGGAGAATCTTTTAGTAGGAATGGAAGATGGTGGTGATAGCTGATATGGCTGTAAGGGTGGTTATTAGGAAGTGGGGAGTGGAGGAGAAAGGAGGAGGATTTTGGAGGTATTGAAGACAGAAAGTTAAAGAGTGAGTCTAGCCAAGAAGTGTGGTCCACCAGGGCAGCTGGGGAGAATGGGGAGAAAGCAGGCAGGGTCTATGGAATTGTGCCTCACTGGAAGATTGTTGGGTGCAGGGATGAGACAGCAGAAGCTGCAAACGCTGTGTCCATTGCTGCTACATCTGCCAAGGATGAGGGTATTTGTGGACACTGACATTGGGACACCAGTCACTAGGTGGAAAGGGAGGAAGAAAAATAGAACATCTTCCACTACAACAGAGACAACCAGTAGATAGGTGGGAAGGAGTCGTAAGGAGACTGGTCGTGGTTGCAGATGGTGAGACAAGGCTGAAGAGCTTGGGTGGCAAAGCAGATTAGCTCCATACAGACAGGAATAATGCCACTGGATGTGAGCTGGAACAGCTGGGTATGCCTCTGGGGTGGTTGGTGCGTGCATGCAGATGTTGGGAAGAATGAAGTTACGTTTGGCTAATCATTCCCTGTCGTTTTTAATTGATTTTCATTTTATTTTTGCCAGCTTGTTTTTTTGCTATTTTCAACCTGTAAGCCTTCCAGAGTCACGCAAGGGAGATTGGCAGTTATATAAATTGAAAGAAAGAAAGAAAGAAAGAAAGAAAGAAAGAAAGAAAGAAAGAAAGAAAGAAAGAAAGAAAGAAAGAAAGAAGTTAATATAATATGAATCTAGCCAATACAGGAAGAGGGTTGTTTTTTTCCTTTTATCCCAAAGATTTAATGCTTATGCCCAGAAAAGTTTTGATATAAGTCCAGCGTTAACATTTTGTTTCCCCCCAAGAGTACGGTGA